CCAATCCAGCCACGGTGATTGGGGGGCTGCTCCAGCACACCCAGGCTGCCCCCGCCCACCCCCATTTAATCCGTTAATCGGTGAAACTTAATGCATGACTGGTTAACTAATTAAACACAATTTTACATTACGGAGGTCAAACCCACCAACAGAAGCCTAGGCCCGGACAAGACAGACCAATTCATGGCAGGCAGACACTGAAAAGGTTCCCCCCCCCCGCTGGGCATGTGGAAATGCTTCACCGCTCCTGCTGATCCTGCCTCACTTAACAGTGCTGATAGGACTTCCAAAGACACAAGGGGCTGCTGGGTGCCCACTCCCACTGACTCTCCCTCATCCCCAGGCCTCTACAATCCAGGCTCTCTTTAGCTTCCTTACGTTGACGTCATGATGTTGAATTGCAGATGTCATTTAACCATCACCGGGTTTGCCGTGCAACAGCAGCCCTCCTCCGCCCAGTCGCTAGCGCTACGTGTGCTCCGCACGCACGAGACTGTCAGCATCCGGAACTTTATTGCAGAAAAATCCACTATTAACATATTTTACAGAGGAAGTTGCACTTGGGTGTTTGGCGAGTTCTCCCCCCTCCCCCGGGGAACGACGCAGGAGTCGGTCCTTGCCACTCACTCCGGACAACACAGCCCCACTGACGCCAGCTTGCGCCCGTGTTGGCCAGGAGAAAGTTCTGCTCTTTCCCGCACGCTCTGTACCACTCTGGTTGCCAAACATTGGCAGCCTCCTCTCCTCCGGCTGCGGAAACAAAGGTGAAACTTCTGAAGGCCGTAGCGTTGGGCGTTTTACCCCTTTGACAACTGCCCTCTAGTTTTCATACAGTTTAGAGAGGGGGAAAAAATCAAATACGTTCCCTGCTGCATGTACTTCTGGGCGTGTCTCAGCACCGTAACAGACCCAAGTCCACAGCCGACAAACAAACATCAACTACCGTGTGATCTCTCCCCAGCTACAGCCAAAGGCCCACTGCAATGCAGGGAGTGGGGAAGTCGCTTCTGGTTCCTCTGTCCCGGTTGCAGAAGACCAGTTCTCCAGCTGCATGGCCTGAATCGTCGCCATTAAATCCAGCGGTAGGACTTATCTGGGTCCTGCTAGCGGGCAACCACTCCCTCCCAAAGGCTAATGTGGTAACTAGCACAGCTGGGCTGCTGTGTGTCCAGGGGGTAAGGGCCTCACCGGCAGATTGCTAAGCTAACAGCCCACCAGTCCCCTAGGCTGTTCTGGCAGTGCGCACAGGCTGCCTTGGAGCCAAGACGACTGTCCGAGCCCTGAGAAAAACACGGCTTTTATTTGATACTAACTCCCCCAGCATCACGCTCAACAGAGAGACCTCGCCAACGTCCCTGGTAGGGGCTGTGCCCAGGCACAGCTGAGCGGGACACCAGTGAGGCCTTCAGAAAGGCGAAGAAGATACAGAAATAGGCACGAGCCGCGGTATGGGAAGGGAGAAGACCTAGAAACGGGCATAGGTGTGAGGGAGAGAACGGGGCAGGTGGTAACACCGAACAGAAAAAACCCACACGGCCTCTGCACACATGGAACAGACCCATCCTGCCCCAGACGCCAGCTTCTGTCCCCAGGGAGCCCAACGGCAGCTGGCTGGCTCCAGCCCGGCGTCTCTCTGTTTACTTATTATGCAGCCGCAAAAGCGCTCAGGCGACGCAGGTGCAGAGCTGTCAGCCCCTGGGATTGGTCGTCAGAAGCAAGGGAGCCCCGTAGGCTGCCCTTCCAAGGCTCGAAACAACGGCAAAGGCTCTTTGGAGGGAGGAGGGGGGACAAAGTGCCCTACCACGGGAACGGCCCCCTGCCCACGGAGCAGAGCAGGCGAGGGAGGTCACGGCTCAGTCCGGGCAGGCCAGTCTCCAGCAGCCGGAGCTCAGAGCAGGTTCCAAGTGCAACAAATGACTCTCTGGTGGCCCGGACACGGGCTTGCGCGTTCCTTCTCCACGCTGAGGCTACCCTGGCAACGGCCCAGCCTTGGGAAATGGCTTAGGGGTGTGCTGCTGCCCACAGGGAGAGAACCAGAGATTTGCTTTTGAGACAAACAGGCAATCCCCTCCTCCACCCCGGACAGTGCTACACGAGCCCCAGGTACGTGGGTCCCCTCCCTCTGCAGCGCGATGAAAAGCCTCCCCATTACCCCCACCCCCGCGACATTCTCCTCCCGCAGCTACCGGGCAGCTTGCCCGGGTGGGCAGAGGCGGGCTGCCGTTCACCTCAGTCTCTGGGGAGCGAGGAGCCGATCCCAGCCCTGCAGTGGAGAGAGGAAAAATGTGCAAAAAACCCACAAAGCAAGAAGGAACCAGCGGGAGCCAGGCTGCTCCCCACCCTTGTTTCCCAGTGGGAAGTAAGGTCCTTTGCTCACGCTGTGCAGACCAAGACCGCATCCCCGTACTCAAGCCCTGGCCTGAGAGCAGCGCTGCTGAGACTTCCAGGTGAGTCCTCTTCGGAGGCTGTCGGCAAACCGTCAGCTCAGCTGCCAGGCTTAAGACGCAAGGTGAAACACCCGGCGCCCGTCTTCTTGGTGTCTGGAGGCGGTGGGGATGCTCGGCGCACAGAGCAGAGGGAAGGGCCGGAGCTGGGCTCTCGCTGGCCCCAGCTCTCAGAATAAAACTTTAAAACCAAACGTTTACACAAGTTTAAAACAAACAGACCAACCCACCCATCTGCAATGAGTGTTTCAGTCAAGTGCAAAAATCAGAGCCACCTTCTCCCTCCCCCATCCCGTAGGGATCTTCCTGGGCCAGATCCTCGGGGGCCGACTGCTCAAGGAACTCCAGAGCTCCCCCAAACCTGGATGGAGGGACCTCTTCTGGCTACCTAGTAGCTGTAGAGGGAGAGGGGCGTATCCTCCATCATGTCGTCCTATGAGCAAAGGAAAAAAAAAGGGACCATTAGCATCTGCCAATTCCCGGGCTGGAGGGGGACTGGTCCAGATCTGGGGCACGGCTGCACCCAAGGATGTGGGATCCAGCCAGTACCAGGCCCCCAGCCCTTCTAGTCACAGTGCAGCTGTTTTGCCATTTCCAGCCCCTGAGCTCCCCAAGCAGCGTCCTCAGCAAGGGATCGCCCTCTCTGGAGGAGCTGCCTTGCTTCCTCCCATGGCCGTCGGAAGGGGCCGGAGCAGGCACAGGTGGGAACTAAGGATGTTAACGAACGAGTAATTTACTAGTCGAGTAGTCGATGGAATTTCTATTGACTACTTGATTAGTCGATCGGCACTTCCACATTCCTCCTCCGAAATGTACAGGGGCCCCCCCGCTGGGGTTTTTGTACATTTCAAAGGAGGAATCCGGAGCTTCCCGTGCGGCTGGGGGCCAGTGGGAAGCCCCGCTGACTCTGGGCTCTACGAGGGCTCCTCCCCTTTGAAATGCACAAGAGCCCCCGGGGTAGATAGAGGCAGTGGGGGAGGGTGTGGAAAATCGACTAGTTGTTAACATCCTTCATGGGAACACGGCTGGGAGATTCCCTTTCCCCATAGGCCCACTCGTGCAGCTCAGAAGGCAGAGGAAAGAACTCTGGAGAGGTCCTGTCCTAGCTGCTCTCCAGAGGTGTTCTGGGACCAGGATCCCTCTCCTTCCTCCCACCACCACTCCAGCCAGGCTGGTCTCCCGTCCGCAAGAGTCAGTCCAGCGGAAGGACGAGGTGCAAACATCGCATCCCTCCCCACCCAAGCCGTGCGGTTCTCTCTGTTCTTCTGGGGCGCCGCGAGGCAGGACAACCGGTACGGAACATTCGCTGCAGCTGGTTCCTGGAGACGCGAGGCAGCCGTGTGTTCCACTTGGGTCATGCACACCCAGCCCACAAGAGCTGGGGACATCTGCCTAGCAGCTGTAGAGGAGCAATGCTCGTGCCTTGTGGCCATAGCCCTTCCCCGGCTACAGGAAGGGCCCCTCTGTGACTCCCTCAGCTCCTTGGCTCTGAACGCCAGGACCTGAGACCTGCTGGGATGGTGGGTGGGCTGTGGACTGCACATCAGAGCCAGTTACAGAAGGAGACCCCTTGGTCGCCTCTGTGTAGATGTGGGCATGCATTAAGCAGTACCTCTGTCCACCCCAAGAGGCAGGGCTTAGAGCTGACCTCCTCCTACTAGAGTCTGCATTCACCCTGGAAGGTGCCGTTATGGTGTAATGTGAATGTACATAACGATCCCCACGTTATGTGCCCTGCAAACACCCAATACGGAAAAGCCACCAAGGAACGTTATGGACGTTGCTAGTGCCGGAGCAGAACGAGCTCACGTCTCCCGAGGGGGCAGAGCAGAAGCTGTTTATTTTGCTGTCTTGGTGCAGAAAGTTATCCGTTTGGAGACCGCCTGTGAAGAGACCATGTGACCTTGTGTGTGCTCTGCCTGTAACACAGATAGGCCAGGTGAAGCATGAACCGGCTGAGTCTGGGGTGCAGCCAGAAGGCTAGATAGACATCACGTGACCTCTACGGTATGGAGACGGTGCTGAATGCAGCTTAGAAACAAACATGGGTCAATATTCCCCCTGGTTCAAATGAAACTGAGAAGCCACTTTAGACTGACGTTTCGGATGCAGTCGTAAAGTTACTCTGTGTTTGGAGAAGGTGTACAAGGCTCCTCTGCCATCCGAGCCTGCAACTCTCACGCACGCCTTGGGGATCTCCTCAGGGCCAGGAACACAGTGTTCTAACACCAGAGTGGGAAAGGGCGAGATGCCAAGGACTCGACCAGAGGTCTGGTTAAGGCCACGAGGACGGATTTCCACAGAGGAATGGGCCCTGGGACTGGGGATTGTAAAGGGAGTAATTTTAAGACTCTTCCATTGAAGAAGACTGATCTTCCTTGAACGGGGGCGGGGGAGGGGCATGAAATGCTGCTACTGCTGCCTGATGCTCTTTCGATGAGCTAAACGCAAGCTGCAGCGGCTGAAGTTACTGCAGGTACTTCAAAACATCCCGGACAGATGCCAGTGATGGTTGGATTCTCCAAGCTAATGACCATACTGAAAAATCGATTCCATTTCACTGACTAGGCCATCCTGGTGGAGGGTCTTCCACTGTTCAGGAGGACTTGGACCACACCAAATGCTGCTCTTTCCTCCCCTTCCACCACGCAGCAACCACACTGTGGGATCCAGGGAGCCGAGCACTGGGTGCAAGACGCCGCCTTGGCTCTGAATAAGCTGGGATGGGGATGTAGTGGCATAGGAGGCCAACTCAACAGTGCAAGAGGGTCACTGAGGCAGAGTGAGGCCTCTTGCTCCAGCCACAATCTCTGTCCTCTCCACACTCAAAGATGACCCAATCCGACCCACCCCAGCAGGGAGGTGTCGGTAGCAACCAACCTGGTGGCCCAGGGCTAGACAAAAGGAATAAATGTCATTGGGACACATCCCCCCTGCAAGGAATCCAGGCGCAATGCAGAAAGACACACCAGTCTGTCTAGAGGGGGAAGAGTCGGACAGCAGACTATCCTGTGCCACATTTAAAGGGGGCAAAAGCGTAACCTTGCAAAATCGGACCACCTGAGTGCAAACAGACGTGTCTGAACCATTGTGGGAGACTGAGCCTGCAGACCAAGGCAAAGATGGGACATTGTCTGAAAATGGTCAGTTGGAAGAAAAATTCTCAACATCACGGAATCTAATAGGGTCCCAGTGAACTCCGTTTTCTGAGTGGGAGTCCAGGTTGACTTTCCAGTGCTTAGAAATGAGACCCAGATGGAGCAAGCACACTGTGATGCTGACATGAACGAGAACTTCCTGTCTGGATCTGCCCCTCAGTAACCAGCTGTCCAGATGCAGGAAGGTGTGAATTCCCTTCTTCCTGAGAGATGCTATAATCACCACCAAGCATTTGGTAAAAACCCGGGGGACAGAGAAGAGGCCGAATGGAAGCCCTGTGTACTGAAAGCGCTGTGCTGCCACAAACAACCTTTCTGTGGCTTGGCAGAATGGCCACATTTAAATAGGCATCTTGAAAGTCGAGAGCAGCAAATGAGTCGTTCTGAGACAATCGTAGAATCACAGAATACTAGAACTGGAAGGGACCTGGAGAAGTCCTCAAGTCCTGTCCCCTGCCCTCACGACAGGACCCAGCACTGTCTATATCATCCCTGATAGATGTCTATTCAATCTCCAGTGTTGGAGATTCCACAACCTCCCTAGGCAATTTATTCCAGTGTTTAACCACCCTGACAGTTAGGAAGTTTTCCCTAATGTCCAACCTAAACCTCTCTTGCTGCAGTTTAAGCCCACAACGCAGGGGAGAGGAGTCAATAGTCACCATTCAGAACCTCATGTACCAGATAGATTTGTTGAGGCTGTGAAAGTCAAGGGCAGTCCTACTTGTGCCATGGATTTGGGTACCAGGAAGTATTGGGAGCACAAGCCATGACCCTGGTGTTCCAGCAGAGCCTCCTCTACTGCTCCCAAAGCCAGCAGAAAATGGCCCTGCTCACGGAGCAATATCCCGTGAGACCGGTCCCCGAAGAGGGATGGGGAGGGCGCGTGCGGAGGAACTGGATAGCATGACCCAGCACGAGAGTACTTAGGACCCACCGCTCGGTAGCAACGGAGCCCCAGGCACTGTGAAAACGAGCCAGCGTGGGGAGGGGCGGAGCTACAAGTGGAGAGTGCCCTGGAATCGAAATGGGCACCCGACGGTTCCGGGGAGGGAATGAGGAATGGCTCAACACCGAGCCCCCCACTTCCCTGGGGAGGACACTGCAGGGGGGACACTGCAGCGGCCCCCCTGCACCGCCCGCCTGCCATGACAGTTCTGTCCAGAATGGCATCGGGCTGTCCAAGGCCAACTCCCCAATTGCGGACGGGACACTGAGCGCCAGGCCTGAATTCTGCAGCCTCCTCACAGCGCTCTTCCACGAGCTCAGCCGCAGGCCGTACGCAACCCCGCCTGCTCCAAAGGGCCTGAGCTGGCTGAAGGGGCGTGGCGCTGCTGGGGAGGGGCAGATGGCTGCAGGGTGGCCACCCATGCGTGCGTGTTGTCCCGCAAGAGCTGCACTTGGATACCGAGGGAAGCAGCCACGTGCCATCAAAAGTCTCGGTTTGCCTTAAAATCCACCAGGATCAAGGGGAAGGGGGAGCCAGGCAGCACAGCATCATCTGGTGACGAAGACGTGGTCCTCAACCGCACCAAAGCTGGGCCTTGTTAAAGACCACAGAGGTTACGCTGGTGCCTGGGCCTGCGGTGGATTGACAGTCACAGAGCCGGCCAGCGATTCTGTATCTGAGTGAGACAAAGCGGGACCTCCGCAGGGGAGGAGCGTCCCATGGATGTAGCAGGCAAGTAGTCACCAGGCCGGAGCCTCTGTCTTGGCTACGAGAGGAGCACAGTGCTGATCCCCATAACTGCCCGTCAGCAGCCCGCAGTGCTGGTCAGGTGGCGGGGAGCGGCAGGAGGACGACCCCGACTCAGGGGATAGGGGTGGAGCGAGGCCAGAAGCAGCGAGTCACCAACGCGTCCGTTGCCCAGAATGAGGCAGGAAGTGGCGCTGCTGCCGATGGACGCAGCACGGTGGCAGCCGCATCACTCCCAAAGCCGGCAGCCCAACAGGCGTGTTTGACGGCACTGACATCAAGGGAGGCGACCGCCGCCAGGGAAGCATTTGCTGGGCCGACATGCTGAGGAGACGCCCACGACCAGATCCCCTGCACCGATTCTGGTCCTGGCTCTGCTCCCGTACCCTGCAGAAGGGGAGCGCAGGGGTGCGGATTGGCAGAACTCAGAGCTCAGTGCCTCGTTCAGTCGACCGACAGGGCTACCGGGGACACAGCCCTGGACCAAAAGGGAGGTCAGGGCCAAGAGACAAGAGCTGCCTGGTCTGCTGCGGACATGGAAACAGTCAGAACTTGCATCTCCCTCTTCAGTGCCAGACTCCGCGCACCTGAACCGGCATCAGCTCCCTACTCGGAAGAGTTAGCGGAACTCGCGCCATCCCATGGGGAGACCGACTCCGTGCCAGCTTGCGCGTTTCCTGGGGGAGGCAGAGTCACCACTGAGATCTGGCGCAGAACAGCTTGCCAAGACGAAGGCAGCATAAAACTACTGTCGGCAGGGAAGGGCTCTTCTGCTTCTTTGGAGAGGCAACGGCCCCGAAATACGAAGCCGCAGCGCTCGGAGTCCGAGAGATCTCCCGCCCGAGAAGGGCCTCGGGACGGACGCAGGTCCCAGGCCATGTCAGCCCGTCTCTGGTAGGAGCGGCAGATCACACAACACTCTTCCATGGGCATCACCCCCAATGCAAAGGACGATGTTTCAACCCCAGTGAGGGCATCGTGGAAGCAAACAAACGAGTACCACGCACCCGCAGGGTCCTACCACACATGTACACACCCCAAGGGAAAAGCAAAGCTCCTCGAGAGGTTGAGCTCACAAAACTCTGATTCCAGCCATGACAGGTGATGAGGAGGAACCGAGAGGGGGCCAGGGTAGTATTGCCTCCTGTAGCCCAGAGGTGGGGTTATGGCTGGGGCTGTGCATGCTGCTCCTGGATACACCTGGCAAATTTCTCTGCCTCCGGTGCGCCAGGCGTGCAGACCCCAGCAGAACACACGGTGCCATCTACTCCATGGAGAATTTTGCAGCCCAAAGGCTAAATAGTGCTCACCTCGCCCACTGTGGAAATGCAGCCACTTCTGGGGGGAGGGGGATGGCAGCGGCATGACAGCCACCCAGCACCAGTGCCTGACACAGCAGGGCAGGGGCGGGGAACGCCAGGAGCGAGGAAGTCGGGCACTTGGGCGGCCTGCACCCTGTCCGTCTTCTGGAACGGGGACAGCAAGGCGCAGCCTGCCTCAGTCTCCCGTCGCCCGACCTCTTGGCAGCGAGCCTTGGAGGCGGGGATCCAGATCTCACCCCAAGCCCCCCTCCCCTGGCGTGAGGGGCGACCGGAATTCCCTCGGCGCGGCCCCAAAGGCAGAGACCGG